CGCCGCCCGTGAGGCATCAATGAAGGCTGACCGGCGCGGCAGCGCGCGGCAGCTTTGGCATTGATTTGCCGCGAGAAACGAGGCGATGAGGACGACGAAGGGGCGAGAAGAGGGTAGAGTCACTGACGCGGCGGGCCCGCGGCTCTTCGCGTCAAAAACAATTCGCCCGGCGTCCCCGAGCGACCCCAGCGCGTCGGGTTCAGATTGGGTCCGCCGGCGCCAATTTCGGCCCGAGCCGACGAAAACTGAGCTCTTGGAGACGCGACTGGGCCAATTTTTTAGCGTCAGCGGATGAAAAGACGCCTAAAAGGTCTTCTTAGAAACACGGCTGGAGATGCCCTAAGTTACTTCCCACTATGATCAGTCTTAGTATACATGCATGCAGTTCGAGGGCAACTACGAATAGCAGAGTAGGCGAGAGAAGAATCGTGGCCAGAAATAAATCGAGCAAAGGAGCTCCGCTACCATTTTCATTAACGAAATTGAGCATGCTGATTTCACCAGAAAAAACAAACAACACACTTTTTTAAACATAGTACATATGCTTGCACTTATATATACGCGCACACACTCATCCTTATAAACGCACGCATACTCTATCCCTATAAGCATCTCCGAAAGACCGAGACGACATATTATCTTGAGATTGAAGAAGTCATCATAGACGTCTTAGACACATCACCGGAAGGGCTATAATAAATATAGAAAAATGCGAGCATCAATGTTGAGACTTGAACTCTGGTGACAGAGGATACCACTGTTCTTCTAACCATCCAAACACATATTGTTTAGCCACATTCAATACTTTCAGTTGTTTTATCAGCTATGGATGTAAATGGCAAAGAAACGACGCCCGCAAGTCCTGTTCAGTTAGTTGCAGGTAGTTACATAGTTCATTTTACCCTAAGAAAAAAAATTATTGAGCCGTTAGACCGTATGTGGACTTAAACGAGACCCAACTTACATCCCTATTATCGGTTTTCGCTATATCCCATGTGCCTAACTATTTGCGTCGGTCACTTTTTGTTTTGCATGAGGATGAAGACGGGGATGGTGTGAGGAGCGCCGGCCACGGCAAGGTCGAGCTAGGACCTCACCAGAGTCGGGAACGACGCTGCGAGCGACAACGAGTAGCATCGTCCATGTGAAGACAGAAAGAAACTTAATTGGGAGGAGGATGCGGGGCTCATCGGGGTTGTGCAGGTCGGGGGGTTTAGAAGTCAGGGAGGTGGCCAGAGGAGGTGAGAGGAGGGCGGGGCGGCGAGGTAGTGCACGGTAGCGCCCACCGGCCGTGGATGTCGGAGGCTGGTGGTTGGGGCAAAGTAGGCTTGTGGCAGGAGGAAGAAGAGAAGGGAACAACTCTAAAATGTTTCAAATATCAGTCACATTTTCAGGGGCCTAACATAGAAAGAGTTCTTTAAAATATATATTTATGAAATTTTGCTGTTCATGACGGAATCATGAGGACTATCTTGTAGACCGACACTTCTAAATCTCCGTCTTACGGTACGGAGTAAAGAGAAAGAGACAATGAAATGACTGTGTGTCTTTTTTCTTGAACTGGAATGTTTTTTCATTTACATGATATAGACCTCGACATTGATACATACTGTATATACTAATTCTATGATCGCATGCATGCAAACCCCTATCCTTATAAACACCTCCAGAAGACTGAGCTACACTTAGTCAACGAAAACATCTTCTCTTTTCTTGTTGATCGCATATTATAGAAAGACTTGAAATAAATTCAGAAAAAAACGATCACCAACACCATCATTTGAGCTGACACTTAGTTGACATTTTGAACCGGAATGATTGTGTCTTTTCTCAAAGGATTAAATTAGGAGTCGCACAAGAAGGGAGCGTGCGCGCGCCCGACGAGCGACGCGGGGGAGGCATCGGAGCGTGGAGCCGCGTCCGTGGTCGGACCCAAGCGCCCGTGCCGTGCCGTGCCGGAGTCCGAGGGGCCGTGCCGCGACGTGTATCCGTGCGGGTTTGAGCGTGACGTCCCGGATCATATTCGCCCGTCGTACGTGTCGCTAGGGTACGACGCGGTGGCCATCCCGGTCTCCTCTGCACTCCGTACCCTTGGCCAACATATTCACCTTGGCCGCCTTAGGCAAGATTCCTCTGTACGTACTCGGTGCCAGAGTCTCACCCGGCCCTGCCTATGCCTGCCCACCTACCTACGTACGTACACGCCTACATGTGGTGCGAGTAGCAAACGACGCCGAGTAGTCGAGCAGGCTAGAGAAACACGACAATGTGTACACTCATATCACATATGTATTTGTCTTTTTAACAAACACAATACAGACACAGACGCTTATACATACGCACATTCATCCCTATGAACGCAAGCACGCACACGCTATCCCTGCGAGCATTTCCAAGAAACTGAGCCGGCACATCATCCTGAAATTGAGAAGTCGCCACAGACGTCTTCGTCTCCTCTCATTGAACGCACGCATATGTATGTGTTGCAATTTACTTTGATGGGTGGGTTTTCCGACACGTACATCATATCTTTTATTGGCAGTTAACGAATGAACCGAGCATGGTTTAGACAGGCTAGATATTTTGTGATGGAGCTTGCACAATGTCCATTTTTTTCATGTGGAAAGGTGCTTACAGAAATAGGGGTTTCATAGGGTGAGTACGTGTTTCTCAAAAGAAAATTCAGGATTGACCACATTTACATGCTTTGTAAGGATGTAGTACTTGGTGTTTGTCCTGCCTCTCGTGGCAGGTTTCCACTGCGGTTCTTGTAACCCATGGCGGGGTGTATTGGTCATTGGAGATTCTAGTGCATTTTTTTACAACCTTTCTTTTCTAACGACACTTTTTTTGATGATATCAAGAGTGTTCTTCACGGACTTGCTAAGAAGACGGAGATGAAAACAATGTTCTGTTTTTAGTTTTGTTAGGGTTTGTGTCATACTCAGGAAGATGAGGCGGAGGCGGCTTCTTGAAGATGGAATAAGGTCATCTCTGCCTAGCCCTCGTCCCGGCGATGTTTGGAGGGCGTATGGAGGTGTGTCTCTGACGGATCTCGTGGTCTCCGTTCGTCTATGTGTATCCATGTTGGATCCTTCCTATCTAGACTTCTCTTCATCGGCAGTGGTTGCTGTTATGGTGCGCTGATCCTATGGGATCTTAGCACGACGACTTCTCGACTGTTTACTACAACAATGTTTACCCGACTCCGCTGAGAGAGGGACGATAACGCTGGCACATCTTCGGCTCTCTCCAGTGCTTGTATAGTCATTGTTAGGTCGTCTACGAACCTGGATGTAATTCTTACTTCTGGTATTTTTTTATAGTACCATGACAGTTGATAAATACTCCCTCTGTCCCAGAATATAAGAACGTTTTTGACACTATGTTCTTATATTTTGGGACGGAGGGAGTAGATTGAAAGTTTTCTAAAAAAAAGAGATAAAAGAAAGCATATGGATGAAGACTATTATGTATTTTTTTTCCGGCCTTGTTTGCTTCATAAGTTCTAGGAGTTTTTTTAGTCCCAACTAAAAAGTTGCTAGTCTCTAAAAAGTTCCTATGTGTTTGGTTCCTGAGACTAAACATGGACTAAAAGACCATGTTACAACTAAGGCCTACTTTGGTTTGGAGGAATTTCATAGAAATTTTAGAAGATAGGATTCTTATAGGATTTTTTCCTTTAGAGCCCTTTGGTTCATAGGAATAGATTTCTATTCCTATATAGGATTGGTTCCTATCTTCCACATTTCATAGGAAAATAAAAATGAGCCTAGACTCAATGGAAAAATTTCTTTGGTGTCAATCAAATGACATCTCGTTTCCTATTCCTACTCATATGATTTGAGATACATGCCATCTCATTTCCTACAGAATTCCTATTCCTATGATAATCCTAGGATAGAAATGTTGTAGAAATAGAAAAATCATAGGAAGTGAGATGACATGCATCTCAATTCCCATAGAGAAAGAGATGTCATTTGATGCATAGGATATGAATTTTTCCATTGAGTCTTAGCTAATGTTTTTTTCCTCCAAAATGTGAAGGATTGATTTCTATCCTATATAGGAATAGGAATCCATTCCTACAAACCAAAGGGCCTCAAAGGAAATTTTCCTATGCAAATCCTATCCTATAGAAATCCTATGACATTCCTACAAACCAAAGAAGGCCTAAAAGTCCCAAAAAGACTCTTCTTGAGGGCATTCTTTCATAAATCCCAAATGCCCACTTTAAGTCTCTATAAGTCCTTTATGTTTGGTTTAGATGAGACTAAAATGGATTTTTTTTGAAGTCCCTATATCAATAAGTCCCCGTAAACAAACACGTACCCCTTTTTGTTTTAGTGTTTCAATGTATTTCTATGCATTGTTTGACGTTTCTCACAATTTTCGTGGTGTTTCTGTGAGAAAAATACAAGTGGAATCCAACAAAATTGGTTGGTGAACCGGGCCGGGAATAATGGCCCTACCTAGGTGCCAGCCGAGCCCGGGGAGCCGGGGGACCTGCCAGAGAGAGAGAGGGGGAGCGTCGTAGGCCGGGCCAGGGGGCAAACGGAACGGCGGTGGTTCCGTGATTTCCGTGGCGCCGCCGCGTCGTACGTGGACACTCCATCGCACACGCCTCCTCCCCCGTCCCGTCCCGTTTCCTCCCGATTCCCTCCGCCTGCCTTCCTTCTTTAAAGAAGAAGAGCGCCGCCGCCTCCTCCTTCCTCGGCTCCCACCGGCTCCGATCGCCCGCCGCCTCCGCTTCCGCCAAATTCTGTATCCTTCCTCGGCCAGCGCTACGGATAGGGCCACGAGGGCAGCTGGAGTCCTCAACTCTCCCTTGATTTCTCGGGCGGCAGTTGCCAGCCTATCCATCCATACGTGTCGGGACGCTGGCGGCAGGCCGCCTTCTTGGCGTCTAGCCACCTCCTCCCGAGCCTCCGTCTGGCCGGCGGTCGCCGCCGCCGATAGTCCGCGGCGTCCGTTCTGCCGTTCCTCTGTTTCGGGCCGGCATGGAGGCGGCGGCGGCGAGGCAGAGGGCGCGGCCGCGCACGCCGCCGGCGGAGGAGTACGACCCGTGGACGGCCTGGCTCTACAAGCCGCGCACCATCTCCGTGCTGCTCGTCGGCGCATGCCTCCTCATGTAAGCAACCGAATCACCATCCCCATCCCCGGTCGATTGATTCCTCTCGTGCTCGTCGCAATTCCCGAGCTTTTTTTTATCTTTCTTCTTCTTCTTCTTCTTCTTCTTCCGCCGGCCGTGCGGTGTGACCGACTGTGAAAGTCAAAACCAGATGTGAAAAAGCGTGCGCTCTGCGCCGGGGCAAGTACAAGAGCGTGCAGGGATATCAGGTGCTGCAACAGTGTCAGAGTTGTACACCCTTCATGGCTGTTTTATTTTCCAGAGAAGAATACTTTTTTTTCTCAGTCCAAGTTTAATGGGCTTCGTGCCAAAGGATTCAACTTTTCAATGAATGATTGAAGCATAATGAGCCAACCTAACCTAGGAGAGTGTAGGGGTAGGAGTGGTGATGAGAATCCAAATCTTTTCCGAATATCTCATGCCAATTTTTATCATCTGAAAATATTCTTCTGCTGCTCGGCTGCATTTCGCCTCATTCTAGAAGAACACCCTTGCTGTTGCTTGATGAATGGATGGATGAGAGTGACAACTGCCCCCATCAAGCTTAGAGGAGCTAAACAAACCCCAGAGACAATCCTCCCTTGAGTGAGCTGAGTGCCAAGCCATCCCATCTCCCATAAGAAAGATGTGTCTGAACTCATGCGGGGCAAGCAACGGATTCAGTAACTTGTAGTACTACTGAAGAAATGTGGACTGTTCTTCTGCTCATTACTTTCTCTGGAGGCCATCTGACCTGAGATTCAATTGTTTCCCGTTTCAGCTGGGCGAGTGGAGCTCTGGACCCGGAGGGCGCTGCCTCCCACAGCAGCTCGACATCTATCAAGAGGTACTATGTACTAGTAGTAGTATGGCTGAATGCAACCTGAATTTTCCTTTTCGCTGTCATGTTTAACACGGCTGGGGAAAAATGGGTTCTGATGCCGCCTTTTCGGCAAAAATGATTGGGGAGAGCGAGCGACGCTGACATGATTTTTGCCTTGCTGGCGCTTTCCAGGGGTGTCTGGGCTATGATTGCGGTGTTCCTTGCCTATTGCACACTCCAGGCACCATCAACGTGAGTTATTTTTTTCTCAGTTTTTAAGTTTTTCTGTAGAAACTGAACATTAGTGCTTAATTATGCAAATTCAGTTGATTTAAGATTCTTGTAAATTTGCTTGGTGTGCTGGTCTCATTGGATGATTTGATGGACAATAATTCAGCCATCTGGCAAAAATTGTGACAGGATACTTATTCGGCCCCATCCTGCTTTCTGGCGCCTGGTGCATGGGCTGGCGGTTGTTTACCTTGTTGCTCTCACGTTTCTTCTTTTCCAGGTTAGATATATGCACACTATTTGTTACTGTTCTGTTAGCATCTTAACACATTGATTTTGACACTTCATGAGTAAATGCCACAAACGTGCATGTGTGCTACATCATAGATTATACAGTGCCTTCTCCTAATTTCTCCCTCGTTTTCCAGAATCGTGATGATGCTCGCCGGTTCATGAAACACCTTTCTCCTGATCTTGGAGTTGGTAACGTCTTTGTGTGAATTAGTTAGTTTCACATTCAACAGTGGTTAAAATGTGAAAAGATTGTTCATAATCCCCTTTTTTTTACCCAAATGCAGAGTTACCGGAGAGATCCTATGGAGCCGATTGCCGTCTGTATGTTCCAGAAAACCCTAAAAACAAGTTCATAAATATTTATGTATGATTTCCGTGTGAACCTTCCCATTTCATGAAGATGGCCTAGTTTTTATTGTTGCTGTCATTATATTCCACCAAATTTGACGGCTTCCGTGATCAATATATAGGAGACATTGTTTGATGAATTTGTGGTCGCCCATGTTTTGGGCTGGTGGGGCAAGGCTGTAATGATACGGAATCAAGCTCTCCTTTGGGTCTTGTCGATTGGCTTTGAGCTAATGGAGGTTAGATCTGGTCGTCTTGTTTGGGAGGAGTTATGTTTTTTGTCTCCTTATTGCCGTCTTTGACAATGAAGTGTGCTTATTATCATCTTTTTGCAGCTTACGTTCCGACATATGTTGCCAAACTTTAATGAGTGCTGGTGGGATAGTATTATCTTGGACATCTTGATCTGCAATTGGTTTGGTGAGACATCTAAAGGCACTTAATGACTTTGCATACCTTTTTCATGCCTTGTATTACCCAGAAATTTCCTGTAACAGATTTATGCATATTCAAATAGCCGAGTACTTCTCGCTTTGCTTGATTTGATACAGTTCCTCTGAATCTGACCTTATCAACTGTAACATGATAACATTAAAAATGTTGATGTGATGTATCCAAAATTTGGAAGGACTGGATAAGCTGTAGTGCGTGATCGACATACTACTGATTGCTATACATACTTCCTACTTGACAATAAAATTTAGTTTCTCTTGATCATTTGCTTCAGTGGTAGAAGCTGGACTTTCTGTTGCAAGTACCACTAGCGAAACAAGTCTTTAATTAATACACAAATCACTATTTCGAATATTGATTGCCCTTATGTTGACGGGATGGCTAGTTTAATTATCAAATGCTATGTGTACGGGAGCTAACGGTGTTCAGGTCATTTAAAATTCATGATATTTCACCTGGACGTCTTTTGAACTTCAGTAAACCATTTCTATCTGTTGCTGCAACACCTCATCATTTTGCCTGAGCACCAACTGCTAGTTCTGTCACAGGTGCAATCTTTTACTGAAATTCTGGTATTCTGATTCAGGTATTTGGGCGGGAATGCACACGGTCCGATACTTCGATGGTAAAACATATGAATGGGTTGGACTGAGCCGACAGCCCAGCATCATGGGTAAGGTATGTTCACTGAAAATACATCAACAGACCAATGGCCGCCTTGTCTCATGATTCAATTGCATCCACAGTCCCTAATGAGCACATCAGTGTTCTTTTGCCACAATGAATGGCCAAGATCCTGTACTTGTCAGATTCCCACGGTCTCCTCTGGCTTTCTAAAATTTACAGTATGAATAATGTTTTGAGTTATGACAGACTCTGACCAGATTGTAGTGCAAGACCAGTAACTCCATGAAACCTTTGCTGTCAGCCAGTTACTGAGGAAAAAGTGAATTGCTTTGACTTCTTGTATGTGAGATACCAGGCAACATGATGCAAGGGCATCCCAGTGGGGCTGTGTCTTGCGCTGTTCAAATCGGTCTTTTGTCATTATTGTTCCATGATTTTTTCCCCTTCCATAATTTGTCTGCTGCATGCCAATTATCTATGCATTTATCTGGCACTGTACCCACATGTGAACAGTCACAGCCTGTTACAAACAACCAAACTTGTCAATCAGCCTTTGTACAGCTAAGGAATTGGTATGATGGTATGGCCTAACAAACGTTGATTTGGAAGGAAGCTAGCTAGAGTCTGAGAAAAGGAAATGTTGTTTAAAAGAAACTATACTGTTTCTATCATCTTTTCACAGTTTATTCATGGGAACTTTTGACTGACTTTATATTAGTTAACTAAACTTTAATAAAAAAGTTCAACATAAGCTGGTGTCAGTGTTGTCAGTGTGATTTTTCGTTGAATCTTGAAGCTTAGCTGTGCAGACTAGTTGGTTTTGATTCAGCCTGCTTACACCATCTACTGCATCCCTTTTAATTTGCAGGTGAAAAGATCGTTGAGCCAGTTCACTCCTGCACAGTGGGACAAGGATCAATGGCAGCCCTTCATGGGGCCGTTGCGGTTCATCCAAGTGTTGTTCCTCTGCGTCGTTTTCATGATGGTGGAGCTCAACACATTTTTCCTTAAATTCTGTCTCTGGATCCCTCCAAGGAATCCCTTGGTTGTGTACAGATTGATCCTGTGGTGGCTGATTGCGATCCCGACCATCCGCGAGTACAACTCCTACCTGCAGGACAGGTACTTCTCAGTTCCTCTGCACAAACCTGTGAACAAATTAAGCATGCATTTATTGATGGACTTTTGACATTTGGCCATGAACTGTTTTGATCACCTCAGCAAACCGGTGAAGAAGGTCGGGGCTTTCTGTTGGCTCTCTGTAGCCATATGCATAGTGGAGCTTCTTATCTGCATGAAGTTTGGGCATGGTGAGCTCACCTTTCTCACCTCGTCACATATACCCTGCTGTTTCATGCGCTGCAAAATCGGCATTTAAGTGTCTTAACATACGGAAATCGGAATTAATCTGGCCAGGTCTTTTTCATGATCCGATGCCTACCTGGCTGATCATCTTTTGGAGGTCGGCGGGGATAGCGTTCGTGGTCTTCTTGCTCGCGTGGTCGTGGAGTAACCACCAGAAATTCCGGAGAAAGAATCTCTGATAGTTTGGTGTGAAGAATGATTTCTACTGGAATCACTTCATAGTTGCTTTTTTTTTATACATAGCCTGTACATATATGATGTAACTTAAAAACCTCAGGGGAGCAAATTCCATGTTGCTCCTGACAGTGACGCGAACCTGGTCTGTCACAGCAGCCCATTGTTGCCAGCATCATAAGATTGACAATTCCAGATCAATCAACAATAATGCACCAAGGCATGATGTAACGAGCAAATAAATTGAGATTGTCACATTGATTGGGGTCTGTCTCAAAATGCTCGGACAATCTTTGTGTACAAAAAATATACAAGTCTGGGGCTGTTTTTC